CCGATAAATAGACGGTGTAATCTGTGTATATATTTCCCGTGGTAATGGGTGTTCTAAGGAGGCGAAACGAATCTCACAATTATCATCTTACAATTAGTTTGTACATACTTTAGATGCATTTTCTGCACGATCCACTTAACCGTTTCCATTCTGCTCTGTTATTATGTTTCCCATAAAAAAAAGCACACGACCAAACTCTCACCTTAATTAAGCGTGCATCCAACGATGTATCAGAGCGTGAAGTTCAATTAGCCGAACGAAGAATCGTACACGACGCGCGATGTTTAGACCGACTAATCATTGTATGAGCGATCCAGTTATGCGGGCTGCTGGTCCCAGGACGGGTCGATGTAAATGCAGTTCCAGAGTGCGTTTACGTGACGGGCCCACAACGAAAATGAGGCTCGTTACGAGCTCGCGATGACGATGCGATGCGATCGGGCCCTTTTTCGCGGCCCGGACCCGGCCCGTTGCGCTCCCTTATCGCCGGCCCATCGTTTTCGCGACCCTACCAGACAAAGTAACCGACCGGTCGGATAATTATCGCGAATGGAACCGCGCGTCCGCTTCTACGCATCCCCGACGAACATTCAGCTGCCTTTTATTCCGCCTGGGAACGTCTTGATATCAATTAGCACGGTGCCTAGCGGGTTCGTTAACTGGATTTTTAGACTGCAGACAATGTCGTGTCGGTTGTTTCTCTAATTTGGCCGGTGGTAAATTAGATCCGCTACGAAATAATTAGGCTACGGAACGTGTCTCGTGGTGAAATTGTTGTTTCGTGCGTATTTTGCTCGCGATACGACAAACTGATCGTTCGTAAAGCAATCTTTTAACTGTCTATGCTGTGATTAATTCTTCGAACGATTGAGGTATTAGAAGGTTTAACCTATTTAGATATTTGCCCCAACTACGAGATTTATTTATTATTTTTTCTTTACTTATTACTATTTTTTACGTATTATTTTCATTACATATTATTATATTTCACTTATTATTATTCCTTTATTTAAAGAAAAGAAAAAGAAATGTGAGATTTCTTCAAAATAGGCTTGACAGTCGATGCGTTAAGGTCAGCTTAAAGGAGGCTCATTTTGTATTCACGTAAGAAAATGGTGCCACAAGTATTATTTATTCGGTTCGAAGCATATTTATTTATACAGGACTGTTAATTGACACATTTAGGGACCTATTAATGCAAGGATAAAATAAGAAATATTTATAAAAGGACGTTGTTGATTTATGGTGAATTTGCAACCCTCCCTTAAGCGTGCTAGTGTTAAAATAGATGAACCGTGTCCATCGGTTTATTACGCAATCGTTAAATTCGCACTTTCTACAAATGTAAAATAGAGAATGCTGGTGTTAAGTGTCCATCACCGGGAAGCAAATGCATTAAAACGAGAAAGTGTGTGAACGGTACAAACTATTTGCAGACACTTCGCTGCCATAGAAAGTTTCCACTCTTACCCTATCGGTCAACGTTCGACGGTAAAGGGGACCCTCTTATCACAGCGACAACGATATAGCCCATCCCTATCGGTATTTTGCATCGGGGCCAGCGTTCCGATTTGTTTCGACACGATTTTCATTTCCAGGCTTTATCTAAAAAATTCAACGGTACGAAGAGGAAAAGCACGCGCAGCCGAATTCCTCTAAAATTCGAACTCTCCTCTCCTCGTCTCAACGAGAGGGTACGATTTTCGTGGTAGCAATGACTATTCGTCACGGAGGAGATAACGTTGGGAAGCATTCCGGAGACACCTGAAATGCTTCGATCTTCGATAGATTCTGACGCGAACAACGCTTTTCTATATTTTTACAGAGAAATTTTAGTAGAAACTAGAACATTTTTTTTAGAGCAATCGTTCTTTTACAATTTCAATTTATAGATCCAGTTTCAGTGTAAAGTGGAACCTCGATTATCCCGTTCGTCGGTATCATTAATATCCATTGTTCATACACGTTTCGATCTTTGATAGATTCAGACACGAACAACGCTTTTCTACATTTTTACAGAGAAATTTTAGTAGAAACTAGAACATTTCCTTTTTAGAGCAATCGTTCTTCTACAGTTTCAATTTGTAGATCCAGTTTCAGCGTACAGTGGAAGCTCGATTATCCCGTTCGTCGGTATCATTAATATCCATTGTTCATACACGTTTCGCGTGCAATCAACTCGATCCGAGACAAAGATCAAATGAATGTAAATGAAAAGTGCTACCAAGAACTGGTCCGATCTTGAGAGATCGGATGAATGCATGAAATCTGCGGTCTAGCGATAATAGAGATTAACGATAAACGAAGCAGAGATTAACAATAAAGAAGAAAAAAAAGCTCGACGCGTGTTTCGATCCAAAGCACGATTGTTCAGACATTTTGCAACGACGTGGCAAAGAAATGTTCCCAACGAAAATTGCCCGGTATTCACTTTTCAACAAATTGGAATAGAAAAACTTGCAGGAAAGTGTTTCTTTACCATAAAAAATGCTGATCACCCTGATTTTCCAAATATTAATACATATTTCTGACTGGACAATATTTAAGCCGGCGTCGAGACGAATACAACGATCCGCTGTACCATCGCCTTAAACCTAAAATCATTTTTATCAGGATCGCTGGCTCTGCGAGAACACTGTGCAGCGTGCGACCAAAAAATTCATTTTCCCCTCGGAGCGAATAATTCCGTCACCGGTGCACGGCCGGTACTGTAATCAGCGACGTTAACCGGCCGGTCGTTCGCCGGGTACGCGACGTCGGAACGAGTAAAAAGGGTAAAAATGAAATTTTCATTTTCGCAGGCACACACATATCGAAACGACTCGAGCTCGATAAAAACGTGGAACGTTCTCGCCGCGCGCCGGCGAAGAAAGGAGCCGGGGACAGAGGCGCGCAGCCCACGGAATCCCATGGGCATGCACTCTGCTGCACGCTGCCCGCAAGGCTGCACTCTGCGCGGTGCACGGACGTGGTGCAGTTGTGCGCAGCAGAGTCTCGGCGCGATGCAGCAGGATGCATGCACAGGGGTCCGCGACGCGCTTAACCGCGGGCCGTACAGCAAAGTGCATCCACCTGCGAGTCGCGCGAGCGAGCGAGCGACCGCATCCCGGTAGAGAGTTGCTTCGATAAAAAAGTTAACGGGCCCCGTTAAAGGATTTTGTAACGACCGACGATGGCCCGAGAGGTCGCGGCCGGCATTATCGGGACACGGCAGCCCTTCTTATTGCGTTAATTAATTACGGATCTTAGTTGCCGGCGGTCCCATTAGAACTGAAAAATAATTGAACTGGATTCCAGCGTGTCAATGTCGCGTCCCGGGCTCCGCCGCGTCGTGCCGCGCCGCGACCGGTCCTCCCCCGATCCTCTCGCGCTCTTTCCGTTCGGAGCCGGTCGCTGCTCGTCACGCTGCGACATCGTGCGCCGCCGAGCATATGACATAATCAATAAGTCGATTCCTAACGCGAGTCCAACTCGATCGAAGTTGATTCCATTTCAATTTCAAGATCCCCGTGGAAGATTTTTTTTCGGATTTCGATGGTTGTAATCGGCTGCTATCGATCATTTTTATAGTAATTTAAGGGTAGTTGCGTGATCGGAGATGGCACGATTAGTCGCTGACCGTGATTTATCACTGCGATCGCGATTTTCTAGTTTTTACCGAATTTATTACATGCGATAATTAACCCATTGACTACAGCAGGCTTCGAGACGCACCGACCGTATCATACGGCAGGAATTGAGTTACGATGTACGCCGAGAACGGCGATCTTTTGGGTAGCGATGCATTTTTGTGAAAACATATTTCGGTAATCAGAAAACTGAATTTCAGCTGCATTAAAACAATATTATTAATTTCTCTGAACCAAATTGCTATAAATATTACAAAATTTAATATTAATGTAAAACTTTAGATAAGATCTATCGGAATATGTAAATATCGATAAAATTCTCAGGGCGCTTATGGACGCCCTCCGTGCCAGAAAACCAAACTGCGTCGGCGCCTAAAGGCGCTCTCAGTGTCACAACAATAATAACGCAAAATTCCAAGCGCCTATAGGCGCCCTCAGTAGCCTAGGGGTTAATTGTCTGCTCTAATTATACAAATTACAGGTGCACCATCGAAATTTCTTTCTTCCCCTGATGAATGGTAACGCATTCCTGATAATGCAATACTATTTTTAAATTCTGTTTCAATCGCATCGCATTTCGGTTACATTATACAGGTTGTCCCAAAAATGTCTCGCAATTCGGAAATGGCGGGTTCCTCGGATCATTTGAAGCAACTTCTTCCTTTACAAAAATGTTCTCCGAAGCACCGTTAACGAGTTATTAACGAAAAACAGTGACCAATGAGAGGCGAGCTCGGCTGGCGCGAGGCGGCCCAGTCAACCAGCGCACGAAGCCCAGTTCTGTTCATTGGCTCGGTCGCCTCGCGCCAGTTGAGCTGGGATTCGACCGCCCGACCGCTGGCGCCGTTGGCTCGGCGCCGTACTCGATTCTTATTGGTCACTGTTTTTCGTTAATAACTCGTTAACGGTGCTTCGGAGAACATTTTTGTAAAGGAAGAAGTTGCTTCAAATGATTTGAGGAACCCGCCATTTCCGTATTACGAGACATTTTTTTGGACACCCTGTATTTCAATTAAATTGTATTCAATCGATTACACTCGTGATTAAAATGATAAGTAATCGAATCGACCGAATGGTTTGTGAATCACGTAATTGAATTATAATATAATCGAATTAGCCCAACTCCGCTTCAAAGATGGTGGTCACCGACACAGAGGGTACTCGGTCGGTTCTAAACGCGGCCGAAATATCCTGCAAGAAGCCTCCATTACGTCCTAGAAACGATAAAAGGAGTCCTACCTGCCCGAAACGGTTAAAGTGAATTCCTCGACAGGAACAACCGGCAAAAATGCTGTCCAGATAAAAACAGCTTCCTTATCTACCTACTAAACAGCCCGAGAGACGTTACTGCCAGTGAAAAATCGAACTCACCAGTGTCCCTGGTAGGAAGTCTTGACGAGCTTCACCGTGAAGAGGAACTGGATAGCGCAGACGAGCAGGCAGCACAGGTTGAGGGAGAGCGCGAGAGCGCACAGCGCCAGAGTGACCTCGTAGACGATGGTGTACTCCTCGGGGCTGATCAGGCTGCTTGGTGTGACGGTTAACGGCGAGATCTTTAGCAGAAAGATCAGCGAGAGCAGCGCCAGCAGCAGCGACACTAAGCACAGTAGTCCGAGACTGGTGAGAGTCTCTTTGGCGCCGGCCTCCTGGTCCTTGTGGTTCCTGGACAAGGACGAGGACCAGGAAGCGTTCAGAGGGTACGCGGTGGATCCGGCGCAGGTCAGCGGCGCGCACGGCGGTGGTTGCTGAAGGACGGGCGCGGGGGAGGGCGTGGCCTGGCTGGGCAGCCTGGAGAGCCTGGAGATGTCGAAGCCTCCGTTCACCTTGGCCCTGTTGTCCTGATGGTGGAGCGGCACCTGGGTAACCGCGGTGTGCCCCAACGCGGTCGACACGTTGTTGTTGTTGCTGCTGTTGATGTTGTTGTTGTTGTTGCCGCCGGCGACGGGGCTGACGCTGTTCACCGAGTGCTTCGACGTCGACAGGGTGGACAGGTTCAACGCGTGACTGTGGTTCAGCCTCTGCGAGAGATTGTTCACGCTCAACTGCGAGTGGTTCAGAGGGTGTCGGTGGGTGGAGGACGGCGTGGTAGCCGGCTGATGGTGCATGGTCCCCGACCTCTGCGCCGGGTGCACCACCACCGAGTCGTAGACGTCGACGCCGCGTCCGCCGTTCCCGCGGACGGTGCCGCTCTGGTTGTACAGGTGATGCTGCTGGTCCGGATGATGGCCGCCCGAGTGGTGATGATGATGGTGGCCGCCGTGCAACGAGCCCGAGCCCGCCGGATAATCATTCTGGTGATGCCTGGAGCCCGTTGACGACGGTTGCCCCGTCAGGATGTGCTTCAGCATTACTCGACACGCTGGGCTTCCACGGAGGAAGAAGCTTCTTCTTCTTCTCCTTCCTCCTGGACCTCTACATCGCGTCCAGCGACGTCCTCTTTCGGTCGGACCCTGGGACGCGGACGCTGAATTGTCGTGAGAACGGTCGATTCTTTGGAGTTAGACTCGAACTCTGTTAGAGGATCGAGCGATCGGTTCGAGGCGAGGTTCCTGGGCTCAAGGAGTTGCTGCACACCAGCTCCAACATGGCGACCGGCATCGGAAGGCTGCCGGCCTGCGGAGCCGGCTGCGATCACGCCAACGGGGAACCGTCAGGGCACCGCTCCGGAAGGAGCAGCGCTAAGAGCCTGGATCTGTCGATCATGGCTGGGCGACGTCTTCGCGATTAGCACTGATTTCGAGGCGGCCTCCGTTCTTTGGGCTTTCGAGCAACGGAGGATCATCAGACCATGGAAGTTGTTCGTTCACCGACGCAGCGAACCTTGCTTTATCCCAGAAGGCCCAGGAGATCGGCGATCGAGCCGATTCTTGAACAAGTCTCCAGTCTCTTCGCCGATCTATTAGGTTGCGCCTCTTCGGGAACCAAGAGGCAACGACTCCTCGAAGTCTCGGCTCACTTCTTCGGTCGTCGACACGGCACCATCGATTGCTACTCCTTTTCCCGGCTTTGCTTCCTTCCAGGCTCCGATGTCCCCTATACTTATTAGCGCGATCCTCTATTTAACTTCGATCCCGATTTGGTCCACATAATCCGCCGACTCTTGAACTCGACTATTAAATCGTTAGAGTGGATCGTCGGTCGATCGAAGACTCGTCTTCGGCTCCCTCCGGAAGCATTCCAGCGGCGTTATTAACGCTTCTGTCCTCGGACAAACATGGGAAAGGCCTCGGAGCAGGTGGAATAATAGAAGCCAGCCGGTACCTCGATCCACGGCAACGGGATCTCGGGCCTCTATCGTCGATTCACTCGCCTCCGGCGTGCCGGCACACGGGAAATACCATAGCAAGGTCGATTAAGTCCAGTTTTTCCGTGCGCCCTTCTCGGTTTCCGGCTCGGTACACGCCGTGGTCTCTCTCTCTACGCGGCGCAGGTGTGTTCGAGGGGTATGCTGGTCTGCTCTCTCAAGAGAACAGCGGAGTCGAGCGATCGCGGAATGGCGCTGGTTGCGTGGCACAGCCGAGCATGATTAGATCCCGTGCGATATCTCGGTGACCTTGTCAATGAGAATAGCGGCTCGTTAAGGCGGCTGCAGCCTCGGTCTGCCTCTGTGTCGAGTTCCAGCGAACTCGTCAGCCGGCATGGCTTCCGAGATGGTCCCTCTGCAAGCAGGTACGATGGAATAATTAATGGTTTTGTCGCCCCTCTCTGCTCGCGCGTGTGTGCGTGCGTGCGTGCGCCGAGCGTGAAAAAGAACGATCGACGGCCCGGTGTAATTCGATTTGATTTATTCGTACGAGGGGAATTGTCGTGGCTTTGTCGAACGAAGAATGGAGGACGATTCGAGGATTCGGTGGGTCGAGCAGGTACGAAGGTCGAGGTTGTGGATCGGGCTGGTGGATCGAGAAAGAATTCGCGCGGGTCTTAGGCCCCTTTCGTGAGTTTCGTTTCACGAAATGAGAAAGTATCTTTCTTGTTAATCGAACGGAACGCGGGACATTCTTTGGGCATTTCTTGCAGGAAAATCATATTGATGATAAATATTATATTGAACAACGTTCAATGAATCGCGAAAAGTTTCATAGCTCCGCATCGTTTGGTTTCGCAGCGATTTTTCGAGAGTCTCGACGAAAAGGTAGCTTCTATGAAACAATATTAACCCTTAGGAGACCAAAACTATTTCCAGTTTACACGCTGTCAAGTCTAGACTGTTTTTCAGACGAAGAGAAATTTTTTACTGAACATTTTTGTATCAAATATAGAGAAGAGATATTCGTTTTTTAAATAAAACTTCGTTGATACATTTTCATCGAAACAATCGTGCCTATTCTTCCAATGTTTTCTGCCAGATTTTACGGTTTTATTGATTTCTGCCGCGTGTACGGCGGTATTGGATCGTTAAGGGTTAAACTTATTTGTAATTATTTTATATGCGAAACCATATCGTGTGTTATATGTTTTTTGAAGAAGGACGAAGTACGGTGAACCGAGAAACTATAATAATATTGTGAAACGATTGAAAAATCCATGGTTTCTCGAAGCATTGTTGCGGCTACCTCCGGATTCGTCTTGATCCTAGCTATCATGATATAATGATAGAAATATGTAATTCCATTTAAAAAAAAGAGAGAGAAAGAAACATCGATGACCTTAAAATCTCGAAAAATATGACCTTTAAAAAGAAATTACTTCCACTGGAACGTGTGTACCTTTGAACCGTACAATCTGTTCCTCTAACACCATCGAGTATCGTTAACAACAACGGAGATATTGCTTTGTAACAGTTTCAGCGAATCACCTTGTATACAAATCGGCGACGGAATCGGGTAGTTGCGGGAAAGGTGTCCATCTGCCGGCGAGCGCCGGAGATAGTCGTCGCGGTACAATACACCTCCCACTCTTCTCCTCCGCATTGCCATGGCTAACCGAGGATCCTAAGCCCTTATCTCGTTCGATTCGATCGACTACCGGTCGCCGCCGGGACGAGAAGAATAGGTCGTTGCGACGAATAAAAAGTCTCACGTACCGGGTGTCGTATAAACTCGATTCCTAATCGGAGAACGTTCACCAATTTCCATACAATTAAACCTGCATCGAGAACAATCGACCGCCTCGTTATCTGGCGCAAACCTGCCCTGAAAATTTCACGCGAACAGATTGTAAACGCAACGACCGAGTCGGACGTTCCCGGACACGGTGTTACACCCAATACATGGCGGAGCGTGTTCGAGCTGAAAATCGCGTTCGCATCCGCGGAGCCGTTCGATCGGAATTGTAACCGGTGCCTTTTATAGTCTACTTATCCGCGTGAGCGACGTCCGCACTATGAATTTCTAATGAATTACGGTACCCGCAGATTCTACGGTCCCCCCTCCCCGTCCTATGTACCCGGCTCGGAGTTACTCGTTTTAATGTTTCCACGCGAATACCGTCGAGCCGCGAGCCAACCGGCGCTTGTACCGCCGTTGTGTACCACTATGTAGCACTAATTTGCTGTCTAAACAGCGCTGACCTCTTCTACGAATCCGGCCGTCCTTTCCGAAGCCTGTCTTCTTGTGCAATCTGGCTGTGCTCGCTGGCAACAATAGAATCGCCATGGAAACCAGACAATGGACGATTTAATCGAAACGTCGAACTGTCGCGTGGACATTTATTTTGTCCACGATGAAATCGGAGGTGTCGCGAGCCAAACGAAGAAATCAATCTTGCCGCAGCTTCGTTGAAAATTATACCTCTTTCGGTCTGGATTGTGCACGCCGATGAACGATACAAGCGCATAAAACAGTGGTCGCTAGACTGCAGAACTTTGTGCACTTGGTACAACACGATTTGTACGTTTGCAGTGAAACGACAGTGCATTTGGAATGAAATTATTATGCACCTGGAATAGAATAATTATGCATTTGAAATGAAATTATTATGCATTTGGAATGAAATAACTATGCATTTGGAATAGAATGATTATGCATAGAATAAACTCTTTCTGCATACAATAAAATGATGCAGATTTTTATGCAAGATAAAAGCTGTCTGCATTAATTGCAACATACAGCAGCTATATAAACGTTCATCGTTCTCATTAATAATTAGAACGAATTGATAGGTATATTTGTTAATTATTGTTTGTAAATTCTCTAAATGACTCTATATAACCATAGAGTATGATAATAACTCTATAACAATAACGTATAGATATATAAGAGTATAATAATAACTGTATAATAATAACTCTATAATAATAACGTATAAATATATAAGAGCATAATAATAACTCTATAATAACTGTTTCGCATTCGAACTGCTCATTTTTCATGGGAAATTCGTAAGATCCGCGATCTAATGATTGCGCATAGAATAAAATATTCAATAGATACTACGAACCGTAGGAACTGTGTCTTAAATTGTTCAACTCTGTTCCAAATATTTATCGATCGATAGATCTTCTGGGAAAAATGGTTGGTCCAATTTCGCGGCTCAATGTACGCGTAACAGAGAAATACAGTTGCCAGCATGATAAACAAATCCGCAGAAGCGACGAACAATCGCGTTGCAAACTAATGAAATTGTCGCGGACAATTACGAATCGCAAATAATGGGAAATCACGGGCGAAGAACGGCCGGAACGGTAAAATTCCGTGGGACCGAAGGCCGGCCGTTTAGACTTCTCTGTTACGCCGCCGCCACGTGCACTGTCCATACAACAGAACGACAGCGGTGGTAACCGAGTAAGTCAATAAAGAACGTGGTAGATTGCAAGGTGGGTTCCCGCAACGCGGACGAGTACAATATAAACGCGACCGAATTAACTGTATCGCGCTGGTAAAAGAATACGGAGGGAACCTGCGGCGGCGGGTCACTTCCTTTCCTCCGTGGCCGACCGGCGTATTTTCCGGTCGTTAACTCCGCCATAATGCGATATTAAAGAGCCGGGACATTTAGATTTGCCGCGGCGGCGCGGAGACTATGTAATTTTTCAACCTGTTTATTATCGAGTTACCGCGGCGAGTATCATTTTCCACGGCCGAAACGACGGAGTGCTCCTGTTTCGAATCGCTTCCGCGACTCTTCCTTCTTCCTTGTTCGCTTTTCCGTCATTCTTCAGGGGACGCTAACCCCTTGCGCAACCGTCGAATTACGATGAATAATTTCACGTGCACGGGAAACGCGTAGGCTGCGCCGATTCTCTGCCGCATCGCGACGCACAGGGCGCACACCACCGCAATTATTCTTATTATTACTGGGCCGATATTTTTTTTTGTCGGTATCTCGTTTTAAGTAGACTGTGGATTTTACGCATTTGCGAGCGCAGGAACAGATAAAAGCAACAAAATAGCTGTAATTTTTATCGATCGTGGGAATACGAGGATTCGATTATAATTTAATGAGCAATTTTTTTATTACACTAGGAAACCCGTGAAAATGACGGAATTTACGATTATTCAGATTGTAAAGATACGTTTACTTCATTTATTTACTTGTGGCAAATATTATAGTAACGCTCGTTAATCGTCGGAATAAATGTCTTATTGTTGCATTTAATTTCTTTTTTAATAATTAACGCTTTTATAAGACTAATATTTAAAATTTAAAATTTACTAATATTTAAAATTTAATAAATGAATTTAACGGGGTATTGCGCGGTTTTTTTTAAACTTTCTTTGAGAGCTTTTTATGAAACAACTAAAAACACGTTTCGCAGTCACATTTGCAAGGGTTTATTTATACATGTTTCAACAATGTATACAAATTTGAGTTCGAAAAATATTAGAAACGGTGGCACCGGCTACTTTGGAACAAAGATGGATTTAAAAAAGATGATAGCACGGTGACCACGATTGCGGCCATTTCTTTTATTTGTAATAAATTTAACAGTTTTATTGGATTAAAATTATTAAATTAATTATAATGGAATAATGAAGAAACATATAAGGTTTTTAATCGGTACGAATTAATAAGAATTCAGACACGAAGTTCTGTAGACGTATTTTTGAGCCTATATTCTTCAAGAAAATGTTTAAAACAAATCGATTTTTTCAAAGATCTATTTCTCGGTCAATTAAAATAATCATAGAAATATATATAGTTTTCTGTCAGGTTTCTACGTCTTGCGATTCGTATTGAACGATTTCATTTTGCATAGAGAAATTTTTCTTGTTGTTTATACGATCTCGAAGGAAACATGGGTTTCGATAGGTAATAAAAGACAAAAATGTTTGCCGCTTGTCACAGAAAATAAGTACTAACAGCTTGTCACACGAAATACCAACAGTTTGTGTGCAAGAATGTTAACGTCTATCGCAAAGCCGCCCTGTCAAGAATTCTCTCGGCAACCTACTGGTTCGTCGACGATTTACGAAGAGAGATTAAGAATGTTCTCGAAGGATTTTTAAAGGCGCCCGTAGGATCGGGAAGCGCAAAGATCCTCGGGATTTTGAAAAATCGTAGAAACAATCGCGGAGAAGGCGAAAGTTTGCGAGACTTTTGTCTTGGTTCGCAAAATATGGGTCAGTCAGGTGGTTGGTATCGACCGAGCGAAAAGTAAATGCTCTCCGGCGAGTATTATTGCTCGATCAATATTTGCTAGCTCTTTTTTCTCAATCCCACCAACCACAACTTTCCTTTTCTTCTTGCTCCGTTCACTTGTTTGAACGGAGCTTTATGC